TTTTTTTTGCGGGGTGCCGACGACCCCCGACCGGTAGGTGCCGACCAGCCGACCGGTCGGCGGGTCGGCAGCCGACCAGTCAGGGGTCGCCGACGGTCGGCGCGTGCAACACTGCTGGGAGGCCCGAGTAGACAGCATTGATTACTTCCTTGAGGAAGGATGTACCACCTCTCACCCCTGCCTAAGTTACCCTCTGCTAATTTTGCCTACCAATCCGTCTGGTCCTAGTTCTACCCCTCTCAGTTGTGAAACTGTCAGGTAGGTGTGTTATTTGAGAGCGTTCTGGAGCCCCTATAATCTTCTTTGAGGTCTCACCCTCTCAATTCCTATTTGTTTCATTTCCATGTAAACCCTAAACCCTAGACCCTAAACCCTGATCCTTAAACCCTCGGTTGTCAGACTAACTTGTTTCACCCATTTCCTAGAACGAACAAGGAAAACCTATGCTATTCTACGATGTTTTTTTTTCTCTCTGTGCACAAAAGAAAAGCGAATGAGAGGCTAAGGGGGAGGGTGGCAGCCTTCCTACGGGATCACTATCACAAATCGACATCTATTACTAAATTCTGATTCTTCCCTCTTCTTTTGGGCCTGAAAGGCAGAGAGATGGGTCGGCGAGAGGAAGGCGGGGGGGGGGGGGGGGGGGGGGGGGGGGGGGGGGGGGGTAGCAGCAGCCCTCTGATGGATGGCATCAGTATAACAATGGGAGAATAAACGAAAACTGGCAATTTAGAATTTGGGGATGGGAAACAGCAAAAGTAATTTAGACTGCCGCTGCCACACTTTTTTTTTTTTTTTTCCAGAGACTGCTAAGAAATCAACGAAGAGGAACCAGTCCAAACGAAGCCAGGCCCCGTACACCATATTGGCCTGCATTGCTACGGATGTGGCGGGAAGTCATGCCGAAGAAGGTGGGTAGACCCAAATCCAAAGACAAGGTACTGAGACAACCCCTGTTTGGTAATCCGTGGGCGAGAGACGAAAGTGATCACCAACTATCCCTTAAGCATAAAGGAAGGAGATGGCTATCGTGGATCAAACATGGAGTTTGGAAAGTGAGCCATCTGTGGAACGAGAGGAGAAAAACGACTAAGTGACAGAACAGGAACGTGCCTCCCAGCAGCTCAAAGGATGCCACCGACGAGATGAGAATCTACAATCCATTATCAGCTGCATCCCAGAAGGCTGGAAGGAGTTGTTGCACGAAGCCTCAACCTGGTGCAGGATTTAACCCCCTCAAGGGCCTATCAATTCTCCCATAAACAGCAAGGGCCGGATACCCTGTCGGTGTTTACCTCTTTCCCAATTACCCCCTCCACGCAAAGCCTCCCATCTATCCTGAATAAGAAGGTGGAAAGAACAGTCCTAAACCCTTTTATACTCAGGAAAGTAAGAGTGCTAGGATCATGGCCAAAAACAATCTTCAGAACAGATACAGTGATTCAAGACTTGGAATTTGATCCAGCAGAGTGGGCTTGGACACCAGACAGAAGAAGCAGAAGTCTCAAAACGAATGTCCCCATTCAGGAATACACAGTCAAACTGGGATACAACTTACTCCTCAAAAGAAAGGATCCTGATTCCACACCCAACGATCAAGAACAGATGGCAGAAGTTAATAGGTCAGGACGCTAGTCAAATCCCAAAAATACCATGGAAAAAAATTCAAGTCAATCCGTCCGGTAAAAAATCAGAAGCCTTCAATGGCTCATCTCATACGTGGCTCTACCGGTTAACCAGTGGCTGCATATCAGAAGAAGTAAGCATGACCCTAACAGTTCATATTTATGAGCGGTATGTTCCGAAAATGAACCAGAAGATTTGCTACATTGCCCGATACGCTGTAGAGAGGCGACGGAATATTGTGCGAGGGCCTCGGATCTCTGGGATTCCCTCTTCTCGACTCCCCTCCCTGAACATCCCATCCAACTCCTCCTACGGACTAAAAGCATCCTCGCTCAATTCCACAAGACAGAAAAAACGTGGTTTGGAATGATCAGAAAGGTAACGCTGTGGTCCATCTGGAAGGTAAGGTGCTGCAGAACCAATGAGGGAGGGAATCTCAACTCCAAGGGAGAAGGAGGTATGGGCGGAGACAAGGACCTGATTCAGGCAGAGATTCTTTGTAAGTGGCATAAGACGAGACACTCTATGACAGACGACGAGGAGCAATAAAGAAGAATCAAGGCAAAATTCACTAAGGCGTGGCTTGCAAGGGGCAAAGTGGCAGAGATAAATGACTTTCGCATACGGTGGATGGAAAGACTGGCACAACTCAGAAGCAGGGTGGAGAAGGCAGAGATCCCAGCCAGCAGAGGGACAAGATCCATCACAGGCCACATAATATTGAAGGGCAAATTCTGAGATTGCATCTTCCGTACCTTCTTTTACCTTTCTTGCTCTTTATGATTTATCTGACAGGTTTATGCAGTGGACCTGAGAGGAAAGGTGGAAGTAAGGCAAGCTGACAGTCAATCCTCCACGATGCTGGAGTAATCAGTGCTGCTCAGGGTTCCTTCGGCCAGATATAAAGGAAGCGTGAGTGTGTTTCATGATGTAACATTTTATTCCGACTTGCCGGTGGAATAGGAACCGGACTGATGCTCCCCATAATGGAAATGGAGCCAGGGCCATAAGGACCTGTTTTGTGGGGGGGGGGGAAGGGGGAGGAAGAAAAAAAAAAAGACTGCTAAGCCCACAGAAGCTGCAAAAACGCTGGAGACAGATTACTCCGTAATAACCATGGCAGCGGGGGACAAGTGAACCGGACAAGTCTGGACACCGGAAACCGGATTTCCCGGTTTCATCCGAACGTCCGGATTACCGGTTGTCCGGACATGTCCGGACATGTTCACCGGACACCGGACGGTCCGAATCCCTGTCCGGAGGTCCGGATCGCTGCCATGGTAATAACTTATTACCAAGTTGATAACATAAGCGGGGTTAGAGATGTCCTCGTCTCCTTTGTCATGCATGACCTTTTCTTTTCTTTTTTTTTTTTCAAAGAAAGGGCGATGGCCTTGAGGTATCATCGCTTATGTGACCGGCCCCAGATAATTCAGGGTCATTTTTATTTCATCTGGATTCAAACTTGGGTCTGTATTTCAGATTGAAGGGAACGTCCAACGGGCCTTGAGGTTTATGGTTCTCCCGACTGAGTGAGGCCCGTTGGACATTCCCTTCAATCTTCGCCCTGACAGCCGCCGCAGCATATGTGGACTACCGTAATCTGGATTTTCATTCGCACCTTTTTCATGTGATTCCAACAGGGTTCGAACTCAGGTCTGCCAAGCAACAGTTGCATGGGTGTACCACCCCTCAGCCACATGGGTTGGGTAGACTACTGCATTGTATTTGATTGGAACATGCATGTCCATTTCTTACTTCAGCTTCTTTGCCTAACAAGCGAGGGAGGGGAGAGGGCGGAAGAGAGAGAAGGGGGTGCCACAACTATCTGACAGAACTTAAGTACCGGTTGATCAGCACTCTCTGCATGTGCCACTCAGTCAGCTGCCGTCTTCCGCCGACTACCTTCTTCCCCCGAATACAACGTACGGTCATTATAGCTGAATTTGGCGTATCTTTCAGTCTAAATACAGCTATAATGACCGTACGTTGTATTCGGGGGAAGAAGGTAGAACAACATACGGGCATTATCACTGTACCTGGACCGGAAAGTTGCCCAAAATACAGGCATAATGACCGTGCCCTCGGTTCGGGGAAAGACGATAGGTGGAAGTTTGAACATACACACGGAGCGCTAGACTTTCGTGGAAACATGCCTTAGAACCTCGAATAGAGCATACATGCTTGAAAAGCATGCATGCAGAATCAGTGAGAAGCATTTCTGCGTACATGTTTCTCAGGCTGCGTTTGGATGCCAATACAGAACGGGTAGATAGACGGGACTACCGATTATAACTACAATCCACCTTCAGCCGGATGCACCCTCACCATGGCTGTATCAGGTAGTTAGTCCATCTACTGGTCTATATAGGTAGACCGACCTTGAATAGAGCTGCGGCGTACGGTCTACCGACCTAGAATAGAGCGTAGATCAGGTCTATTCAAGGTCGGCAGACTGATCTATGCTCTATTCGAGCTCGACACGTATCGACCTCGAACATCGTTAGTCCGTCTGCCGATCTATAGGTAGACCGACCTCACATAGAGCGACAGCGTACGGTCTACCAACCTCCAATAGAGCATAGATCGGTCTACCGACCTCGAATAGAGCGGCGTACGGACTACTGACTGTGTCATCTCGCAGCTAGATACGTGTGTACATTCACGATTAGCGTGCACTGTGTTGAGGAGAAGACGAGCGTAGTTGGAACCAGGTATTGGGATGTAGACGAACCTCAAGATTGTGGGAGTATTTGCACGCCCCTCCCCTTTTGCATTCTCCTCTTTGGAAAGCATGGCAGACACCACGCTCCTCCCTCGCCCTCATGGCCTCCTCCTCATCTTCTTCTTTCTTCTTCTTGTAGTCCGCCACATGATCCACTCTGATTGTCCGTCCACCGATCACGGTCCCATTGAAGTTATCTGCAAAAGAATGTCATTAAAAAAAATCCAAGTTCAAGCAGACACAATGCAGACACAGGAGTCTGTCAGAGAGCTCTTCCTTCCTTGTGTGCGTTGATTATAAAAACAGCAGCCGTGTCCTCCGGGACATGCGTTAAAATTGAAATGAAAAAAAGAAGATTGGTATGGCAACAGAGCAAGGCGGACACGCATCAATCGAGAAATTGTCCAAATAAATAAAACAGCAGATCACAGCTACTGGCGAACCATCACAGGCCTGAGGCAATGAAAATGAAAAGCTTGCCTATCCTCTTCCCTCCGAACACAATGCACCCTCATTATGACAGTATTGCAGCAACACGATGTCTACCTAGTCGTATGCATTCATGACGACCGGGATGCTTTGCGTCCAGGCGACTTTGGGCTGGGACGGCACTCCAAAACTGTGATCGTTGCAAGCGGCCTAGCTCACTCAGTTGGTTGATGGTGGAGCGCATAAGTGGTACACAGGAGGTCGTGGGTTCGATTCCCCCCGGCTTCCATTCAACTCCCCACGACCCCCTCTGTGGCATACTTCGTATTCAATGAACTGAGAAGAATAAATTGACCCCCTCTTTTTATTTTTGGCACACAGCACCAAAAATTTACCGTACGGCTTGTCGCTCACTCACAGTTGCCGTACGCTAAAAATTGGTGCTGTGTGCCAAAAATAAAAAAAGAAGGTTTAAAGTTTAAACAGTAAATAAATCGTTTTTGCTTCTGTTTTTTTGTTTTGTTTAGAAAACTACCCTCTATTCTTCTCTCATTAGATCTCCCCCTACCTACCTGATGAGCTGATGACGATCTACACAACCAAATCAAAACAGTGAGAGCACACAAGGAGAACAGAACAACGAGGGAGGGGAGAAGGGAGAAGGGAGAAGGGAGAAGGGAGAAGGGAGAAGGGAGAAGGTAGAGAAGGGAGAAGGGAGAAGCGGGAAGGGAGAGAAGGGAGGGGGAAGCGGGGGAGGGG